CGTCAATGTAGCAAATGGTGTGGTTGTTTGAAAAAAAATCGCGTTTCATTATGAAGTCGTCATGGAAATGTTTGTTCCCAGGAAAACATCGAAAGATGTACTTAGCGGATTCATACTTGATTTCTTCATGACAAACACTGGTTGCTGGTCACCATTTGCCCTTATCGCTTCCCATATTGGGCGCCACACTCCAGGCTGATCATCAGAAGCAGCACAGCACACCAGTTAGTCATCTATGTGAATAATACTGCTGTCGGATTTCACCTAGATCCGGTGTGTTTAGACAATCATATTGTTAACGAGAAGCAAGGTGTAGATAGCGACATCTCGCTGTCAGGATTCCTAGGTCACATTGAGCGAACATCCATAGAGCTAGATCAAGACGGCAGAGTCCTGGAGGTCCGAGGTCAATTGAGACCTAGATGAACGGGTACTCTGGTCAGACAGAGAGGGCAGGAAACCCCCTGATCTCAATTAGTTTGTCCTTGCTGCTTCATGGGTACGAGAATTGACTGACTTTCTCTAAGAAACCTTCTCTGATCTATCGCACAGTGTAAGCATCTGACGAACAAGATTTACCTTCTTAGACAGCTGGACAAGGGGCCTCTCCCTGGAATCGCACACGGTATGCTTGGAGTGGAGACTGGGCCACTTGCGCTGTACTTGGAATAAGAGAGAACCCTGCGAATCTTTGGCGGTAAACCAGCAACCATTCAACTTCAGCACCTTGCACTCCACCGAGAACTCTGTCAAATGTGGAACACAATAACTCGTGCTCACAGGCGCCGGTATGTCAGGCGTGGAGGTCGCCATCGCTGCTTATTCGTCCATTCTCCTTAGCCGATTGAATGGTTTGTCTGAATTTTCTATCCACTGAAGCTCAGTAAGAAAACTTGTAGATTTTCTCTGTCTGAATCTTCTATGCACTGAAGCTGCGCAGGAAAGGTCAGATGTTTTCTGTCTGTTTTTACATACACTGAAGCTCAGCAGGGAAGGTCGGATGTTTTCGCTGCCTGGGATTTCTATCCACTATAAGCTTAGCAGGAAAAATCATATAAGTTCTCTCATTCGGCTGCCTCTGTTAACCAGTCGAATTCTCTGTGTTCGTAGCCAGTTGCTACGAAGGTTTTCAGTTAAAATTTCATCGCTGGCAGAGGCGGTCAATCGATCGGTCGGGACTCCCGACCGATCGATTGGGACTCCCGACGGTCCGTCCGTCAAGAGTCTTGACGGACGGACTTGCTCTCCCGACTGGGGAGAGCAAGTCCGCCTTAAATAACAAAACTCGACACGCTGCTCTCGATCAATCATCACCCGATCAACCTTGTTTGACCCGGAAAGTGGAGACGCGGCTACGTGCTTTGGATGAGATCCATTAGAGGACGCCTTCGAGGGGAGCAGCTGTCCAGTCCGCATTCCGAGAAGTAAACGTGAAGTCCAATTAAAAAGAATTGAGAACGTGCTCCAAAGGGTGACAAAATGCCTTCACGCGTCCATTTGGAAGCGGTCTGGTCAGTCCCCCGTGTCATCCCTTCCCTTCTCTTTGCGTAATCTGCCCATAAACAACTTCTCTGCTTACACCATGACGGCTCATGCCTTGCAGCCCGATCCGCTGTATCCTCGAAGAGGATGAAACTCAAATCGATGGTGCGTGTGCGGAGGGTCCAGAGAATCAGAAACTTCGATGGCTAAGGGCCCATGCGCAGTGGTAAACCCAAGGAGAAGATTGTCCAAATTGACACCAAGAGGCTAATGGACGAACGAATTGACCTTGCGCTGCAGAGGAGTAAGGTCGAAATTAGACACTCGGGAGGTTAAAAAACTGCAAATCCCACGGTGCAGCCGGAAGAAGCAAGGGTGAAGAGCCCAGTGAAGCCCAACAGGACTCCTTGATCTGAGGAGCTCCACGAGCAAGCCGGAGCGAAACTGGTCTTCACTCCTGGAGAGGAACATGGCGACCTCGGTGAAGTCCCAAGCCCACAATCTATACGTACTTGCCCGTTCCTTGCTCGATACACTCTTGCCGTTTGTTTCTTATTCAAGTCTTCACCTTGTTCCCCTTCCATTTGCTCCATTTCGAGCCAATATCTTCTTCGAGCGTTCTGAAACCAGGAGCAGAGAGCTCAACCTGTTGTTATGGTTCTAGCGGCTGAGGGTTGGCCGGAATCTGGAGAGTGAGCTAGGTAGTAGATTCTATGGCGCATACTTTGAGCTCACATCTGTCTGTAAGTGATTTACTCCATGAATATAGATAATTTTAATTATTACAGTGGATATTCTGCATATTTATTTTATAAAATTTGAATGTAATAAAATTGTTTCGCTCTCAAATTTTATTGCTCTCACATTTTCAACGTCTGAAAGATATTGAGATTTAGTGTTTTTGACAATATTTTATGTTTGTCGTAGATCTCAGCCCTTCATGCTCGACCTATTGAACTCGACTCATACCGTCGAGCTCAAAGCTGCTGAGCTGAAAGCATCATAATGATGTCTTCGGACGCCCCAAAAATATTTAGTCAATTCCTCAGACTCCTGGACTCCGAAGGGTGTGTGAGGCATTGAGACAAGTCCTGGATTCGAAGCATACGCCTTCGCTGGCATCTTGCTCGTGTTGACCTGAAAGTGAACACAAAGATGTCATTCGTCTGCAGGTTCTGAGTGATGAGTCTGGGTACGGCGGCAGTTGTGTCGATGAGTAGTACCACCTCCAAAGTACTTTCCATGACGTACAAAGTTTATGTTCCAGGGGGTGAGTGTGCGAAATATTCACGGATCCAGGGCAGAATGTGACGAACAGCCTCAAAGATTTTGGAAGCCATGATATTCCTTTCCTTTCTTCTTCTTCGTTGACTGAGGGTTTGGTCCAAACGGCTTCAGATATGCAACGAAAGTATGAAGTAGACAAGTCTGCTATGAAACCCTGACGATAGATCCAGCTGTTGGGACCGCCTAAATCGCCGGGGACCTACTTAAGAATGAAGCTGCTTATGCTAATGACGTCAGCTTCACTCATACGATCAGCAATCTGATGATTTCGTATTAAGAATGTGAAAGAAAGGTGGGACCATCGACACCCTGAAGCCTATATCAATTTTCGGTGTCACCAAATCCTGGATGCTTGGTTTCAGTGTCGGATTATCAGCCGAAATTTCTACAACATTCATGTGAGGGAAGAATTTCGCATATGAAGTCTTCGGTTATTGCCAAACTAGAAGATTGTGTGGAGAGAAATTGATGCATTTCTCAACACGCAGTTCTTGTGGCCGATATGATTTCCAGTAAATCTTTGAATTTATAGGCAATCATGTTCCTTTGCAATATAAGAACTTTGAATAACACACAGAGCGCAATTTCACAAGAAGTTTCTAGTATCGAAACTACCAAAAAGTCAAGTCTACAAATAAAAATGCAGAATAAATTTTATTCTGCAGAATAGTACATAAAAATCCAAGATACGAAATGCTTCCACGTTTCTATTCCATGAAACACGACTTTCCAAAGTGTGAATGAAGTTCAGTTAAAGTTGATAATAATGCTCTTCTGTCCAATCTTTATTCCTTATACGAGGAAATTGACCGAAGCTATTCCTTTGTGCATGGAATTCTAAAGAACGGGCTCTTCGCGGATCCGCCATATTAGAATATCTTCCTATAGAATTTAAATAGAATAGATGCTCCCAAAGCAGAGTGGAGATTGTTGTGACAACAAAACCTGAAGGGTGCTGAATTACTGAGGAGATAATAACGACTTTGACTCACAAGATTGAAAATCTAAGTTCTCTCCAGAAATCTTTGATTAGATTGCCACTTGTATACATTCTAATATTGTCATGATGATGATTCCATTCTGTGAAAAGAATTTAAGTTGTGAATAATGTTGAAATGGATGAAAATTATGTATGTTATAGTGTTTGAACTGTTTTTTTTTTAATTTCTAGAGTTGGAGATAAAAATCTTAACTCTCTTTTGATACTAAATGAGAACATTTTACACAATCTAAACATATTATTGTTAAATTTATATATAAATATATATAATTAATAACCAATAAAATAATAGTGTAAAATTATCTAAGTTTGAAGGAAATTGGGAAAAAAATTCAGAATTTCCATGCTCTTAAAATTACTTATTGTAATAAGTATCATTTTCATAACAATCAACTTGATTTCATTAAATTTTCATTCATGAATGTGAAAATATGGGATCACATGTTGGAAGTCATCCAACATGGAAAATTGAACTCTGTATACTTCAAGAGATATCAAATTCTCTTTTGAATTATCAAATTGACATAGTTCTTGATTTTCATATAAAATTATTTTCTTCATGAAGCATTAACGATATCCAAGAAATGATCTTGATAAAAAAGTTAAGTGTATCTTACTCGTGAGTAATATTTTGTTTAACTCAACCCATGTCTCAAATCGACTCCAATTTGATATGAATGGAAGCAGTCGTTTAGATGGGAAAGTAATATAAACACGAGGACAGTCATCGCTGTCTGCCCTCTAATTTCGTCAACGTAGAAAATTTACAATTATCTTTCTTGTCTTGGTGTTGTAGAATATCAAAGAGATATATCCGATGGCACTCTCAAATCTCGTTAACTTGGTAAGTTTGTACATGAGGTAGCCGAGATGGTAGTATATTGTCATTTTGGGTGCTGAAGATTATTAGTAGTGTGGTAATGTGGTACATCTTTCACAGAAATGCGATGCTATGATGAATACAGTTTGGTAATGTTGTGATAAATAGAATCCTTTGACACACAGGTTGTAACATACGGATAGGATCTGAGGACGGGTGTGTTGAATGTCAGTGGAGTGGCAAAGAAGTCATAATAAAAATATCTCTCCTCAATTCATCTGATTAGGTCCGTGGTCAACAACCTCCAACAAAGCTACTTGTCGGCTAATCAATACTACTTTCAAGGAGAAATGTTCTCCGACCCTACTTAAAACGAATGAATGAGGACCATGAGAAATCTGGAAGATCACTACCTCCAACAAAGCTACTTGTCGGCTAATCAATACTACTTTCAAGGAGAAATGTTCTCCGACCCTACTTAAAACGAATGAATGAGGACCATGAGAAATCTGGAAGATCACTACCTCCAACAAAGCTACTTGTCGGCTAATCAATACTACTTTCAAGGAGAAATGTTCTCCGACCCTACTTAAAACGAATTAATGAGGACCATGAGAATTTTGGAAGATCACTACGTTACTGTGCTGTCTGTCTAATCGTGTTGTACCTCAAGACTCTCGTCTATGCGGATTCTAATAATACATATGGTACCGGCAGATGATCTTTAATGATCGATGGTATTTTATGCCACAGGTATGGTTCAACCTGATGACATAGGCTTGTCACAGAAGGACACTATATACTCTCGTTCCCAGAATTCCTGAGGTGTGAATTCATTGGGCACAACCTGACTGATGGGAAGAATCTACATTACCAAATCTCACACGATGGATCGGTCTCTGATGAAGGCCTGAATGAGATCGAGATTAGGAACTAGGAAAGAATGAGTCTTGGATCGGATGGTTTGCCAGATCACAAAATCTGAGCTTTCAGTTCGGTAGAGAGTCGGATGGACTCGATGTGTGGGGGATTAGACTTAAGTCTCGGATGGTGGCACCGACGTAGCACGAGGCGAGCTGGATCTCGCAGTCCATCAGTGATGAAGAGCGGAGAGGGCCCAAGCTGCGCCTGGCGCGGGGTTTCCGTCCCACATATCGACGCAGCCCAAGTCTGGATTGTCGATGCACTTGCCGGACATGTACAGCGTTTTGCCGTCGGGGCCGCCGAATTCTACATTGGTGGTCTCGTACAGCCCAGGAAGCTTGATCCGCAGCAGTAGCTCGCCGGTGGGGGAGATTTTCACAGTCTCGCCATTCATGCCGTTCTTGGTGACGAACAAGTTGCCGTGGACATCGCAGCGCATGCCATCGAGGTCAACGTGGCCCGAGCCATCGAGCTTCTGGAAATCGACCAGAAGAGTTTTGTTGTCGACGAGGCCTGTCTTCTGGTCGATGTCGAATTTCCAGATGAAGTTCGAATAGGGCTCGCCGAACTTGTGGAAGGACTCGGTCAGATACAGCGTCTTCTCGTCGGGAGACACCTCGATTCCGTTCGTGAGACCGAAGAGTCCCAGCAGCTTGGCCTCCACAGGCTCCAGATCAAGTTCCCTCGACGTGTTGGTGAAGGAAGATCTGCCCTCGCACATCCACAGATCTCCGTGCCCCACGACGGTGTTCACATTGGAATACGCCCCGCCGGTCATGTAAATTCTCCCGCTCTTCACAGCCACGGCGATGTCGTTCGGCTGGATCATGCTCGAGTTCTGACAGAACGGGCTGCCTCGAGTTCTGCCGTCTCGTTTGGACCTGAGGAACTGAACCACGCTATGCGACTTCACGTCCGCCGCCAGAGCGCGGAGGTCGAAATTCGTTGACAGGGAAGGCGAGAGTGGTAGGAATCTGAGCCCATTGAACGACGAACTGGCCGTCTGGTCCTTGACCAACAGGTTTTGTTCGAGCTGGGCTCGAGCATTTGCAACCGAGCCGATGCCCGATGTTCCGTCTCCCGCAAAGCCAACTGCATAGACATTGCCCACCTGGTCCACGGCCATACCTTCTATCCCCAACCCAAACCTGGATACGCTGGAGGTGATGAACTTTTTGGCTACCACCGTTCTGACTATGCCTGCTTGCGCATCCGTAGCTCTTACTGCAAAGCACATCAGCAGCATCACGGACAGAGCCGTCATCTTCATCGATCCGCCCATTGTGACAGTAGTATCTGCTGTAAGCTCTAATCTGTCAAAAATCGTTAAGTTCTAATAAATTTCCGTGCGATGCTGAGCGGATTCGGTCTCGACTGTCAGCAGTGCGCTTTCTACTATCTGTTTTTTCGCCTGGAAGAAGAAAGAAGAGAGTGCTGAACTTTGTGAGACAGTGATCGTTGTGAGAGGAGTGCAAACCTTTGTATCTGCTTCTCTGAGGAGATCTCTGTCCTATAAGTACGTGATGAAATGGATACTACAGGGAAGACTCTGGGAACAAGTCAGTACAAGATTTCGTGCAGTGAATTCATAGTTCACTCCTGGCTGGCTGGCTGGCTAGCGAGGTGTTGAAATCAGAGTGAGGCCCTACTAAATTAGTTGAAAGATATGATTGTGTACATACTACGATACGACGATCAAGTCGGCCATCCCCGCTGTTGATTGTTGACATAGCATGGCATTCTTACCGGGCAGAGCTTCTTCGGGAGCGCAAAAGCGAGAATCAAAAAGCTCGGGCAGCATCAGTTCACTCTTATGAACTGTGCAGTAAACGACGAGGGACTCTCTTAAGCTGCAGTGTATGCGTCATGGGTGTCACTTTTCATTTGCAAGTCCATGTGGCAAGTAGTGGATCATGTCGATGGAACGGGGATCATGATTCATTCCAGATAATTCCAGTAGTTGTAGCACCATCCTGGAGCAGCGCGCACTGTTTACTGCGCACTGAAAGAAGATCTACCCTTCAGGATCTCCTCCAGTTACGCCAAGGGGGTTAGCCGCGAGTTGGCTGCACTTTGCACTACTACCATCTTGTCATGAAGTCTGATGAATCTTCAGGTGACTTTCTCAACGTGACGAGTTTTTATAGTCAACTGTGGAATAATTCAAACCATTCAGAACTCGGCCTTGAAACATTACACGGTTTCAAAGGATGAATACCAATACAGAAGCGATTGGTCGAAAGTGCCAACACAACACACTTTTGCGTTCGTAGGGCTTTTGACAAAAATGCACTTCGCATAATTCGTTACATATGTGTCGGGTAGGCCCCGAGTGGTTCTGAATGCCCCTTCTGCAAGTCTTCTTGTTTTATCCTTAACAATCACTGGTAAGTATGGTCCATCAGGGTCCAGTGGTACAAGTAAGTACATATTCGAGCCCGATTGATTTATCTTCATGACCGGACGGTGCATGCATTAGTGCAGTTCTGCCCATTCTGGCCGAGCATGTGAACCTCAGGGTTGAGCCTCAAGGTATTAACTTTGAAAAATAGATCTGGCTGGGATTTTCGATAAATTTTACAAGGAAATGGTAGATCCGTTTTCCGAGCAGATAAAAAATAGCCGTGTTTGCATGTCGACATAAACCTAGGACTGAACCAGTACAGTCAGCGGTTTAGCCTTTCCTGGGAAGAAAAGAATGAAGTGGATAAGAAATTGACTTGCAAGACCCAACGAATCGCTACAGGAAAAAACGGTAAACAAAAAGGGGCTAGGCTACCATATGTCCTGGGAACTCGTTAGATCGTTGCACACAACTAGATCTTGTACGTGCTTTCATTCGTGCCTTGACCCGGCCTGGAAGCTCATAAAGGAAGCCAGACTTCATGACGTGAGCGCGTCTTTCACATTTGTGTGTGTCTGAAAGTCTACGTGCACGTGTTCAACATATATATTCACTTTCCAGTCTTACGCTTTAGTGACGTCTGTCTGTACCTTCGAAAATTCGTGGACACCACGGATGAGCCCCGACGACTAACATGGGGTAACCTTCCAAACAGATCAAGGCTCATCGGAGTCCCTTGTACGAGCACGACCGGATCTGCAGCTTTTACGGCACAGGACAAAGAAACTTTGTGGAATGTATTTGCGAGGAGGTCGTTAGTTTCGGGCATTCTTCTGCTAGTGAGCTATACTTTAATCGATACAAATAATGATCGAACGCATAAGTTTTGTTCTTGCATGCACATATGGTCGCCATGGATACACTAGATTGCTGTAGATCACACGGACTACCATGAAACCGATTGATAGTTATATTACGACAGAAGCTGTTCGTGAAAGTTACAGCTGGTTTCTGTTCTGACTTAGCACTGAGACGCTTGTGTGATCATAACAGCTTTTTGTTCACTAAGCCCCTCGGTGCTAACTCACTTGTAAACCTCTCAAGTAAACCAAAACGAGTACAGCACTCTCTTATCTTACATCGACGACAGGAAGAAGCACAATTTAGTTTCGTATTGACAGCTGATTCTTGCTTCTTGCAGTGACGTGACAATGGATGCTATTGCAACTACTTGGAGTACCAAAATTTATATAGTACCAAAATATAACTATTTATTACTCCATAGTAAACCTGGTAAATCTTTTGTTCTTAGGGTGGAGTTCTAGTATTGCCATATTAAGGTGAGCACTTTGAGAGATGATGCATTTTTCTGTATCTAACTTAAGGCGAAGTTAAGGAGGTCAATTTTGAGAATTTGTAATTGGCAATTTGAAATGTAGTCAACAGTTGAAGAAGACATCATATTGGGCAACTAAAAGAAAGATGACAATCAGCTGGTAGAGTGAAGATAAAGCACGAACACTTATTATAGTTTAATACTATGTACAATCGATGCAAAGATATACTCTTAATCTTCAAGCACAAAGCTTAGTTTAATATTGTAAAGTATAATTGTTACAATTAACTAACCACATTTGCATAACATAATAAGGATATAACTTGATTCACGCGTGGATATTGACGTTCATACCATGTGTACATACGAATAGCTTGTAGTATCAGTTACAAATTCTACTAATATTAGCCATTTATAGCCTATTATTAGACACTAAAACTTCCATACAATCTATTATTCGGATAAAAGAAGTAGAATATAATCTTTATATAATAAAGGATATTATTATCACTTGATTCAGATGTTGAATTTTCGAAAATCTAATTACAAGATAAAGGGTCCAAATTGTAACAAATGGATGTGAATGTGTTATCATGTTTGTATTGATATTTTGTCTCAATCGTGATACTATTATCACGATTGAAATTGTTTTTTTATTCAAAACATCTAATTATCTAGCTTAACTGATCTTTAAATAACAATTTTAATCACATGAACTGATGCAACACATTCTATGTACAAACTTAGTCTACGTTTCTTACAACAGAAATGATCTTTCTATATTTTTTAAATGATTTGATTAACATAGCACATGAATAAAATATTTAGGATAATTAACATGATAATTATGTATCACTTCAATCAAAATCATATATACATAGAAATTATTATAAAATATAAACCAATAATAACAACATTGATAGCTTGATAATTTTGCAATTAAAAAATTACAATCAGATTCAATCGAAATTATAGCTAAATATTTAAAATGCTTAATAATCTACTTTTTAATTTTATAATATTTTCAGAAAAATTCGAAGGTATTTATTCTTTTACTCTTTTTGTTGGCAATGATCGAACTTAAGTTATTTCAGTAGAAATTTTGTCGATAAACATGAGTATCAATTCATGATATCTAAGTTTATACTCCTAAACGTTTTGAAGATCAATAGTTTGTGACTTGTTACATATTAGCGTCTTATCCACTAATTCCTACACCTTTTCTTGTAAACAAACGATTGTAGCAAATAAAAAAGAAGGTTCTATGGAAGGGAATGGAGGACATGATAGGTACTTCAAGATTCGTTATTTAATTTATTATGTTTTTTCACCTTTCAAACCTATTTGAAGTATTGTTTTAAGACATATCCCCAACACAAAAAGACACTCTACAATTAAAGCACTGTCTTTGAAAATTATCAATAATAAAGCGTACATTTATTTAAGTTTAAGACTTGATTGAATTCATTATCTCGTATTTATTTGGTTCCCCAGTATTTGATAAAATCAGAAGTGAACCAGGTCACATTATATATTTCTAGTGCCTGATTATGCATGCGGTAATGGTCCTGTTTATATTTTTGTGGGTGCGTTATATATTAATCAGTAATCTTCTTGACGGAGAATTCCACACTTCAGCCGTGATACGGCTTTGAAGTTTCACGAGATTCTCACTTATTTAAAGTTATAATTTTTATCTCACCTGTCAGCTGACTACGACCTTGTATGCTCAGGGCAGGAGGTAATAAAAGTGGGAAAGGAGATCCTGTTACATGTACAACTAACTATTACGATGACAATAGAGAAGTGTGGTATGTCGTTTTTTTGTGAGTAGTTGATGCATTACAGCAAATAGTTGCAGTTTTGATACTTACTGGCTGTGCTCATTCCCGATTTTAATTCGTTGAAACAGGCCTTTAACTGGGAGTCTCAAAAGCATCATTGGTGGAAGACTTTGGAAACAAAGAAACCACAGATTGCTGCTGCAGGCTTTACTGCTATATGGTTACCACCATCTTCAGATTCTCTTGCTCGCGAAGGTTTGTCTACACCCCTACTCGTAGATCCCTCCATGTTCTAACCGTTGCTGTGAAGCCTTATCGTAGAATTTTGTTTTCAAGTTGAGCATAATTCAGTTGTTGTGAGCATGTACAATAATGTCTTCTTCCATCATACGTTTCTAATCCAAGGATGGGAATAGCGGAATCATTCATCCATTCATGAGAAGTTCACAGTCCTACGAGCTTTCAACATGAGTCTCTCGTAGGCAGATCTGTGCCGAGGGGAAGAATTTTTACGCTAGAGATGATAACAGCTGTAGATGGCCGAATCACGGATGATAAGTTTTCAATTTCTAATGTGAGGAACGCGATGTGTGTGCCAGGATACCTGCCGAAAGACCTTTACTCGCTGAATACCGCATATGGAAGCGAGAGTGAGCTGAAGTTGCTCATCAAGACCATAAAGGATAACAACATGAAGGCCATGGCAGATATTGTGATCAATCATCGGATTAGAAGCACTAAAGGCGTCGGAGGTATCTACAACAGATACGATGGGATACCCATGCCATGGGACGAGCATGCCGTTACTTGTGATACCGGTGGGCTGGTGAGCAGCACTTCCGGGAGGCGAAGTAGCATGCTGCCATGTGAATCTTAGCGTATGTTTGCATTCATGAACTACTAGCAACGGGTGTATCTTCTCACCACCTTTGTCACTATAACGACAGGGAAATCCGAGTACCGGAGAGATATTTCATGGAGCACCTAATGTCGATCACACACAAGAATTTGTGCGGAATGATCTAAAAGGAGTGGCTGATAAAGGATGTGGGTTACAACAGTTTCCGGTTTGACTTTGCAAAAGGGTAACTGCCCCATCAGCACACTTTGTTGAAACTGCCAGTATCTTTATGTTGAAACTCAAGATCTCTCTAGCATTCACGGCGAGGGGTTTGTCTTTCTGTGCATGCTAATGTTGAAATGTGAAATAAACAAAATGCTGATTACTCTTATCTTAGAGTGTTTGGATGTGATGCTTATGCACATGTTCTCAGAGAATCAAGGACTAAGCTCGATCC